AAATTTTTAATTTTTGCGGTCGTATAAAAAATAGTATCGGAAAAAGAAATGTTTTGAAATATTATCATTGTATTATTGACAAACAGTTCTGTTGACATGTTAAAAATAAACCTTGATTCACAGGATTTTAATATAACATGCAGTATTGAAACGAACATCGAGAACTTGTACTGTCGTACACAACATAGGATGCAATATAATGTCTGTACATCAGGATGCATTCAATTTATAGCGAGTTGTTTTCATTTTTTTACAGCACTGGGTCGATACCTCTGCTGGTGGACTATTAGTCTCCGAGGGTATCATCAGCTTAGTAGTCAGTTCTTCGGTACTGAAATGACTTACAACAAACATTTCTAAAGTTTATGAATGTTGAAATATAAAAAAACCAGAAGTTTCAACTCCCTCTGGCAATGTTGACATTAGATGAATTTGGCAATTTTTTTAGGTACTTTTGGTTCATATATCTCATCAACTGTTTCGGTTCTTATACATCATTGGCTTTCAAACAATCGGCTTTGAGCCGTCCTGATGCAAATAAATCCAGAAAAGCGTTTTGGACGAATCAGATTTATATCGGGTTGTTTTAATTTTGAACGTGTATCTGAGTTTTATTTATATTTTTTTTAAATGTGGAACAATTGCATTACATAGATACACAATGGTCAGGGTGAGTGAAGTTATTTTCAGCAATAATATAGACATACAAAATGGAACATATGACTATTAATAATGATGGTCAATATTTGTTACCGTAAATAGCTATTGACAGTTTGTTTTACCTACATATATTTATGATCATGTTCTTATTTGTTATAGTGCGTGATAACATTTTTTGAGGGAATTCGATGTTTGCTATACAACGGTTCATTTCAATACACTTTTTGATATATTATTTTGCAGTGTTTTAAGAAATGATTTCTTACTCTGTATACATGTATTATTTGTGAAGTCGTATTTTCTATATAAAGTCAATAAGTATGAAGACTTTTGACGCCAAAACTTTTTATTCCCTTGAATATGCCGATGAAAGTCCCGAAAACTATACCAATGCAGAAAAAAATTTAAAATCATAGCAAAACTTTTGGTTGGCTAATTTTTGTTCTTTGTAACAAAAAAATTAACTTAAAACATTTGTAATTTTCTCCCTACCCAGTTTACCCTCTATTACTAATTAAGATGTGGACTGGTCATAGTTATTGTATCTTACGCAATTTGATTGGAGTAAGTTATTATTAGTTAACCTTTAAACTGTTTAGTATTTTTATACACGTGTAGTTATTAAATCAGAATATGCATGAAGGTGTACAGTAACTCAAACTGTACACTGGACAAATTCATATAATTACCTATCTATGAAACTAAAAGTATGAAAGGTAAGAATTTCCACTTCTTATATTGTCACAAAATTTTTCACATATAGAGTAGATACGTTATTTTTAATAGCCTGTTGTGAAGAAAAAAATTGAAATTTACAAATCACAAGTTTTATTCCATTAAAGAAGTCATTTTTCGAAGAGAAATGCCGAAATACATTTTTCTCACGCCTACGCCAGGTAAAATTGTTGTCTATCTCAGCAGGTCTCATTTTAATGTTATAATTACAAGTAATCTCAAACAAAAGTAGTCAGTAAAAAAGGCAAATACGTTCGATCTGTCAATTTTTGGACATCAAAATTCAATACGATCGTTTTAAGGTCAATTTCGTCTACTTCACAAAATCTTGTAAGGCACTTTAAACAATTTTTAATGAAACAATCGCTTTGTCATTCCCGATTTATTTTGTACCACACTTTTTAAGTCATAAGTATTTATAAGGTTTAATATATCTATTACATAGATTTTTTACGTTTAACGTACTAAAATCATGTATATGAATTACAAGGTATCGATTTGATATGACACGTTCACTTTGCTGAGATTATTTATTGTATATTTTTTTGTATATGAGATGGCTTAAACAGCTGCTTTATTGTTGCATCCTTCTGAATTTAAACGCATTATGTTTATTGTTCAAATGATTGATTCAAATGTATGATATTTTTCTCTCATTTGTCGAATTTCAATGTACTTAATTTTATCAGATAACGAAGTAAAATGTCTCTGTAACGTTTTTGGGATCAATGAAAAAGATTAAGTTATGTAACATTTTAGCACGTTTCTTGACTCATTTCTTGCTATATGTTTTAATATTAATTTCATTCAATCTGATCAGCATTTTGCCTTGTAAAGTTTTTCAATCAGTGACTACTAATACTATGGATATATTAAATGAGCACTATAGTAATTTACCACTGTTCAGCTCTGATAAATCGAATTAGAAGATACAAATTAAGATAATAAACAATAACTGAAGTAACTTCTACAAACCTGCACTTCTTTGGTAAAGGGGTCAAACGACTAAATTCCACACTCATAAGTGTTACGGTCACCTTCACGTACGGTTTGGTTGACCGATACGACGAGTCTGTGTCTCAACTCAATAGACTTGTTTTCGCGGTCTTAGATCTTTAGATATCAGAACAGTTGAGTGTTCGGAAAATGGGTGAATTCGCACGACAGAAGATGCATACATACCATGTCGAAGCAATCGGTGTTTCGGAATATGACAGTTGTTGTCCATTCGTTTGATGTGTTTGTGCTTTTGATTTTGCCATTTGATTAAGGACTTTCCGTTTTGAATTTTTCTCGGAGTTCAGTATTTTTGCGATTTAACTTTTTTCTCTATTTGGAGTTCGGGAAAGTTCTTAAGTTGTTGTTTATTACATTAAAAATGTGTCTTTTCTTAATCAATTTGAGAGATTTGAACATCGATAAACTGCTGCCGTCTTAATAAAAGCTAGACTGGGTCCGCTAAACAGCCCGTCTATGAAATCTGGTAGAAGCATCAAACGGCCTCAACCCCTTTGGATTTTACTAACCCTCTATGGATCTGTAGGGGGTCAGTAGCGAACCATATAACTCATATTATTGTCCAAATACGCAATTGGTGCAGAAAAATCGGTACTGTTAATGTTATTCTGAATAAATTAAACCTATAGCTAACCAGGCAATAATTCGTTTTCTGGATCCTAAAATGATGATATTATCAGCAGCATGTAGTTAAGTAGAAACGATATTTGACAATATTGCATTGCAAACAGAATGTTGACGAATCTTATTGCCCCATTGAATCGTCTGAGATGTCTTTTAAATTGTTGACATAGTTAAAATTGAGAATGGAAATGGGGAATGTGTCAAAGAGACAACAACCCGACCATAGAGCAGACAACAGCCGAAGGCCACCAATGGGTCTTCAATGCAGCGAGAAACTCCCGCACCCGGAGGCGTCCTTCAGCTGGCCCCTAAACAAATATGTATACTAGTTCAGTGATAATGGACGTCATACTTAACTCCAAATTATACACAAGAAACTAAAATTAAAAAAGATACAAGACTAACAAAGGCCAGAGGCTCCTTTCTTGGGACAGGCGCAAAAATGCGGCGGGGTTAAACATGTTTTTTTGAGATCTCAACCCTCCCCCTATACCTCTAGCCAATGTAGAAAAAACAAACGTACAACAGTACGCACAGTAAAACTCAGTTTAAGAGAAGTCCGAGTCCGATGTCAGAATAGGAAACAAAAGAAAATAAACAAAATGACAATAATACATAGATAACAACAGACTACTAGCAGTTACTGACATGCCAGCTCCAGACCTCAATTAAACTGATTGAAAGATTATGTCTTCATCATATGAATATCAGGCACAATCCCTCCTGTTAGGGGTTTAGTATTATACCATCATAAAATATATGAGAAGAACATAACCCGTGTCATGCCAACAACTTGTTTTTAGAATAAATATGTTTCATTCCGATGCAAAGGCCCTATAAGTGAATCAATATTAAAGCCAAAATATGCAATCTTGTTTCATACTGATTAGGATAATTCCACAATGGTAACTACTGTACCCCATTTTTTTTTTTTTTACATTTTTACCAATTATGTCTGTTTGTTTTGCTTACACATCGTTGTTAATATAATGGAATCCACTACACAGTTATACAAGTCACAGGCACTTGTCTCAGAAATTACTTTTTTCCTATATACCTTAATATAATACAGGCACTTGTCTCGGAAAATTTTGTTTTCCTATATACCTTAATATAACACAGGCACTTGTCTCAGACGTGTGTCCCCCTATATACCTTAATATTAAAACATGGCAATATTAAGGTATATTGGAAAAACAATTTTTCTGAGACAAGTGCCTGTGATACAAGTGGGAGCTTTTATATAATAGTTAGCTATAAAAACAAGTTTAAAAACCCATATTCTACATGAAGAAATGCATTTACCTAGTGACATGAGTCAGGAATATGACAGTTGTTTTCCATTCGTTTAATGTGTTTGAAATCTTGATTCGGTGATGAACACAAAAAAACATAAGTTAATCTGACAAAATTGGGATCCAGCAGCCATTACTGTGCAAATTGATATCACAGAAATATAACACAACAGTACAAATAAAGCTGCCCTAAGATAACTTGCAATTCAATTTAGGTCAATTCTAAATATATAACACATAACGTTACTTTGTATTTATACATCACCTGCTTACGAATGTTTAAGTTTGAGTTTGCCATAAAAGCGACACACACGCATGTAATCTATAACGTGTATTGTTATTTGCATTACTTAGTTCAATTGATTATATCACTGTGTTCTTCTATATTTCTGCCCGGATTTTTAACTAAAAATAAAAGTTAAGGACTTTGAAAAATCTATTTTTAGTTGAAAATTTTCAATAGATAACTAGTGTATACTGATTATTTGATTGATGTTACCATTCCGCAACAAAATAGAACGTAAAAACTTTTATGATTTAGACAAGGTAATTCAAAAGATTTAAACAAAATGAAACAAAAGATTTTGGCAAATTTTGAAATGCTATAAAATAGGTGAACCTAACACGCACAAGAATTATCTTAATTTCACAATGCATGATTGTCATTTATCTTGAAGGCGTAGGAATATTGGTTATACTAACAGCCTTTGTTCTGGATTTTAGTAAGTTCAGTGTTGGAGAAGCGATAGGCTGTCATGGTAAGAAAGTTTAAGATTTACATCTGAGGAAAAACTATAAAAAAAAACAATTATGTTATGATTAATATAATAAAAAGTTGTTTGAGATGCTCAAAAAATAATGCGTTCATTAACTACATAATTATTTAGGGGTGTCATAATAATTTTCTTTTTACACAACAACACTAGGAAATAATGAAATTAAGTTACATGCGGGTCAACGGTCCGTGTAACACTCATCAATTCAAATTTTAAAAAAGTTTTCAAATGAGTTTTAAAAATTTTTGAAATAAGTTTTAAAATTTCCAATTTCTAATTGTTTTTAAAATTTTGAAAATTTCACCAAATGATTAAAATTTTAGAATTGTACACTTCGTTCTAAAACTCAAAAGTTTAGATATGTAAGCAAACTTTGAAAATACTAAACTGAACTAACAGTAAACGACCTATTTTGAATCATTGATTATTGATTGCTTAACGTACAGTGGCAAATATTGTATGCACTTTCAGGACGATATGAAATTAACAATAAATTCAATAGGAAGTCGTGTAGTTGAATCCGTTCAGGATGAAGGTCGGCAAACTTTAGATCGTCGCTGGAAAAGGATGGTATATTTGATAGGGACAGAAATTATGCCTTGCAACTGGCAACCAACCAGTTGTTGTAGGGGTTCCTAGCGTTCAGAGAGCATAGCACTCTCCTTACACGCCACATTCTGACTGGACGTAGCTGCATACTCGTAATTTGCTGAACAACTATTGTCGTACGATAAGTTACAAATGCGCAAATAAGAAATACGGACTACCCTTTAATACAAAAATCAAATATCTCGTTTCCTTTTATCTTTATTTATAACAGAGGTGGGTCTAGGGGACAGGGGCGCTGCCAACTCCTAATTGAGCTTCATATTTGAAAAATGCAACTTCACCTGCATAATGGATATACATTTCCCAACTTATTCGATATTCAAGAGCTTGCAGCTCCTACTCAGACTTTGTAAAACGTCACCAGTGTCTGAGCAGAAAGTTGATGAACCAGGGGTATGTCAAAGAACGTCTCGTCCTTTTTCTAAAAAAGTTCATCGGAAGGTACCAAGACCTTGTTGATAAATATTCCGTATCAACTTCACAAATAATACTTGATGGTCTTGAAGTATAGATTCTGCATACTGACGTTGTTTATCATCTTAACAACGCGTAATATTGTTCTTTTATTTGTCTTTGTTCTATCATTAATATTACTTTTACTGTTTGGTTTGTTTTCTGTGATATCCATTTGACGTGGCTAGGTACTTATACATTCCGTCAATGTGTTTGTATTATCTTTCATTTTTGCTGGTGTGTTTTGTATATGCGACTTTTTGTGTTTCTGTGGTTCTTATAACGTGACTCTGTACTTTAAAAGATCCCGTCATTATGTTATTGTTCTATTATATGTCATTATGTTATTGTTCTATTATAAATTTGAAAATACTTTGAACGACAAACGACAAATTTATTTTACTCGCGTAGTGGTATTAACCATATGTGGATTCTTAAAAATTCTAAAGAACTTCTGGACAATTTTAAATCTCGGTCTATTTCTGAAATTAATTCTAACATAACTTTTGATTTTTTAATCCTGTATACCAACATTCCCCATGTGAAATTATAAAATTGTTTTGAATAAACATTGAATGACAAAATTTCTTCTTATGTGACGTTTACATTTTCTGACGTCAGACACGCGAAGCAATGAATGTGGTTTTTAATTTGATAGATGCTTTTGTGCTTTTTTGTAAATAATTGTCTGTTTTGATATTGTAACACAGTGACGACTGCTGTACCCATATTTTGACTATTTTATTTATAATGTCTGTTTTGTTCACGCATCGTTGTAAATATAACGGAATTTGATAAGACTGTCGTACAAGTGAGAAATAGCGAAATGATCAAAACTGTACCATGTGTACGTTCAGTTTAGTATTATTAAAGTTTGCTTAAATATCAAAACCATTGATTTATAACGAAGTTTCTAATTTAAAATTTTAATTATTTGGTGAAATTTAAAAAATAAAAAAAAAAATAAAAAATTGGAATTTTGATATTTTGAAACTTTGATAAAAAATACCAAAAAATCAAAATTTGAAACCTTTTTAAAATTTTTAATTGATAAGTGTTACACGGACCTTCAAAAAATGCCGAAAGAGATCAAATATGTAAATTCTAGTCTTAACATTTCTCCTTTACTTTAAAACATTTGAAAACGTACTTAATGATATTGTGTTTACTAAACAATAAAAGGATGAAAATACATGTACATTAGACAAGTAACTCAACCCATAATCCATGACAGAAAAATGTGACAGCTGTCTCGGATAGATATTTGATATCGTAAAAAAAATGAAATAAACTTTTCAGATTTAAAAAAAATCGTTGAACTAGCTATAGAGAGAGTAAAATCACAAAAATACTGAACTCCGAGGAAAATTCAAAATGGAAAGTTCCTAATCAAAATGACAAAATCAAAAGCTCTAACACATCAAATTAACGAATGGATAACAACTCTCATATTCCTGACTTGGTACAGCCCTTTTGTATGTAGAAAATGGTGGATAAAACCTGGTTTTATAGCTAGTTAAACCTCTCACGTGTATGGCAGTCGCATCAAATTCCATTATATTAACAACGATGGTTGAACAAAACAACTGACATAATAGGTGAAAATGTCAAAAATAGGGGTATAACAGTCCATATTGTGTTATAATCTTAATCACTATAAAAACAAACAAGAACGATCGTCTTAAAGCAAATGATAAAATTGACAATTGATTTAGTGATTGATCAATGGTTGTTTGACATGTTCTTGATTTGACCTTTTAACTTATTCTTTTAGAGTCTTATTGGTCATTATATCTTATGCACCTGCCGTACGTAGCGGAGGGGGCATTATGTTTTAACCTTGTCCTGTACGTGCGTTCGTCCATTGCTTCGTCTGTACGTCCGTACGTTTCACAGATGGTTTCCGGTTATTAGTCTCCTACCGAAAAAGTCGAAGGGGACTTTAGGTTTGCACTCCGTCCGTCTGTCTGTCCGTCTATCCGTCTGTCCATCCGTCAGTCCGGCAAATCAGCTTTCCACACTTTTTTTCTTCGTTCTTGAAGATATTGATTTGATATTTACTATATAGTTTTATCATGAAATGTTATACATCAAGTTCGAATTTTGTTCCGGTCTGATGATTTAGTCGAGAGTTATCATGGTCCATATCTAATGTTAGAGTACTACATTTTGTATGTTAAACCATATTTCTGTACAAAGAGAGATAACTCATTTTTGTAAAGACATTCTTTTGTTAAATATTTGAAGTGTTTTTTTTATTTTGTATAAACTAATTTTCTGAATGCTATATACATAAAAAAATTATAAAGTGAAAGATAATAATCTATTTTTATCAAGGAATATATTTCATTACATAACATTGTGTATAGATAAAAGTTGTTGACATTTTATAGATAAGTTACAAATATATATTAGTTTGTGACAAATGAAAGAAAAAATATTTGGAACTATTAATTATGTTTGATCTAATGTTAGAGTGTTTTCCACCCTTTTTTTTCATCATGCTTGAAGATAATGATTGATAATTGGTATATAGTTTTATCATGACAAGTTACAGATCAGGTTCAAATTTTTGTTTCGGTCTGATAATTTTGTGCAGAGTTATGGTCCTTGGATTTGAAAAATTCACTCATATAATCAGTTTTCCACACTGTTTTTAGTCATGCTTGAAGATATTGACTTGATATTTTCTTTTTGTTTACACCATGACAAGTTATAGAACAAGTTAGCATTTTGTTCCAGTATAATAAATTTTTACCCGGTAGGGGACTATGTATTGCCATGCAATATTCTTAGAATGCTTGTTAACTTAAGTTTGACTTAACCAAATTTTATGAAACCTATTCACATTGCTTATTACCATAAAATACAGATCAAGTACAAATTTGGGAAGCGTCACTTTTACTGTTCTTCAGTTATGTTCATTTTAATTTGATATCATATGCAAGCGGTGGCATCATCTGTGGCCCATGGACATATACCCCATTTATTGTAGAAGAAACGTGCGTCTGGCATACAAAATTGTTTACCTTGGTCCGTATGCGTGAAACATCCTCACTTAAGTATTCCTCAGACTTAGTTTTCTTTAAGAATTCCCTTAGTTTAATAAAATTCTTAAGTCGTATGCATAAAATTACTTAAGTCACCATGCAACAAAAGAATACTAAATCGTAACCTTTCTCTTATTAGCGAATGATATATTATGTTAGCTCATCCCATGTACTCATCCGTGCGAAACTTTGTTTTGATTATTTAGTATATTATTTAAACAATATATACTTTTATTAAGAATGAATGAAAAATTGATATTAGTGTGTAAAACAATCAAATCATACGTATAACCAACTAAAATGTTAACACAAAAAGAATATTTTTTATGCAAAATAAAGCTTCCCAAACTGATGCTAAAGAGGGAACGGGCTTGGAAGTGAACTGATGGCTTTATTGATTTTAGAGCAACGTCTCGTGGTTATTTTTCCATGCATGTTTAAGAGGTAGTATCAATATTTTTTTTAAAAATCACTTCCCTTTAGCCATAAAAAGGGAAAATCTTCCATGAACTAATATCAAGACAATAGGGCATTTTTTAAAGATTTTCAATCTTTACTAAATTACACATTTTTTGGTTCAAGGTTGCGTGAAAGGTATACACAAATTGTCGAAGATATTTTTAATCGAAACCAAAATTATAATTGAAGTTATAACATGAATGTTCTTACAGATATGCCATGATTTATTTACAGGCGCGGATCCAGCCATTTTTAAAGGGGGGTTCCCAACCTAGGAGGAAGGGGGGGTCAAACTATATGTCCCCATTTAAATACATTGATCGTTCAAAAAAAGGGGGGTCCGACCCCCGGAATCCTCCCCCTAGATCCGCCATTCTGGAGCACCTGATATCACCCCCAGTTTTTGGTGGG